ACCCACAGCACCACCAGGGCTTCTTAATATCTTAAAGCATATTAAAAGTACTCAACTTCCATCATAATAAGAGAAAATTAAAACTACACTGCAGTACCATTTTCATGTATCAGGTTGAACAGTCTGTTGGCCTGACTGGGAAAACAGGTCCTCTGTTACATTGCTGGTGGGACTACAAAATGCCACAACTCCTACAGAGTATTTTAGCCCTAACCAACCAACTATATTTATGCCCTTTGACTCAGCAGTCCACCCTAAAGCCTGATCTTACCCCTGCAGACTTCTTTTTTCTCCCAAACTCAACATTTCAAGCAAGATTACATGTCAAAACTGCCATTGTGACGTGTGAAGTTGAAGAGCACAGAATTCTTCAGGTAGAGTTGTTGTTGTTGTTAGGTGCCATTGAGTCGGTACGGACCCATAACGACCTTATGCACAGCAGAACAAAACACTGCCCGATCCTGGGCCAACCTCACTACTGTTGCCACACATTTGAGTCCATCGATGCTGCCACTTGGCTAATCCATCTCACTGGGGGGCTCTCTTTTTCTCTGACCCTCCACCTTACCAAACATGATATCCTTCTCCAGCAACTGGTCCCTCCTGACAACATGCCTGAAGTATGAGAGACGAAGTTTGGCCATCTTGGCCTCCAAGGAGCACTCTGGTTGTACTTCTTCCAACACAGATCTGTTGGTTCTTTTGGCAGTCTATGGCACTTTCAATATTCTCCTCCAACACCATAACTCAAAAGCACCAATTCTATGGTCTTCCTCATTCACTGTGCAGCTTTCGCATGCATATGAGTTTACTGAAAATACCATGGTTTGGGTCAGGCACATACTCAAGCTGACATCTTTGCTCTTCAACACTTTGAAAAGGTCTTGTGCAGCAGATTTGCCTAATGCAATACGTCATTTGATTTCTTGATTGCTGCTTCCGTGAGTGTTGATAGTTGATCCAAGAAGAATGAAGTCCTTGACAACATCAATCTTTTCTCAGGAAGAGTTAAGAAGATGGAAATGCTGCCTTCAGAAGCACACAGATCTAGAAGAAGGGTATATTGAGAATAATTTAACATTTGGATGTTTTTGTTTAATAAAGGTTTCTATGGTTTCATGGAGTCCTGGTGTGGACTGCAAGGTCTGCGGTTCAAACTCGCCAGCTGCTCCTCGGAAACCCTATACAGGGTCACTATGAGTCTGAATCGACTCAATGGTAGTTAACAACAACAGTGGTTTCATAGCAATACTTTTTGACCCTCAATATAATGTTTTTACTTCTTGAAAAAGTAAAGAGAAGGTAAAAAGCATCAGCTAACAAAAAAATGATTTCTAATGTGAGTGGGTGAGAGTACAATGCAGGGTATATGAATATAAACAAAATTTCTTTTATATTTTGTAAGTATATTTTGATTTTCATAAAACCAAGTAAATGTTTAAAGTATTTTAAAAAAACAATAGCATTACACTTCAAAGATTTTTTTTTTTTTAAAGCAGACACACAAATGAACCTGACTATACCAAATAGATATTATAAACAGGCACAAAAATACAAGAAAATGAACCTGACTTCGTATCAAACTAATACCATAACCACACAGAGAAATAATCATTAAAGTGACTTGTGTATAGTATTCTGACTTTATATACTTAGTGAGATATATTACCTTTGGACAAAAAAGTCTGCAAAGATATACTGAATTTTACTTCGTAGGTATGTTGTTGGAAGTGTTCTGCAACACAAATGTTACAATTCTGAAATGATTTTGTGTTTATAATAGGTTAGAACAAATGAGTAAATATATTTATATTATTGTAGGTGCTTTTGGTTCTCAATGTGGGAAATGGGAGCTAGATCTGATATGGAATGGAAGAGCCCTGTGATGTTGAAATGGAATTAAAACCATAATGAAAATATATTTACAAAAGATATTTCTTAGCTCTATCTATGAAAGGGCCATTAACACTATTTTTACTAATCACAATTGCTCTATAAAAGGAATCAGGATTCTTTGGCAGAAGTTGGAACCAGGACTGGGATAGAAAAGATATAAGTGGGCTTGAAAGCATGGATGTGCTAAAATGAAAACAAAAAAATCTAATGGGACCATATGAAAAGAATGCAGGATCCAGCTTGGAGGGACTCCCATTGGCCAAATTTGTGTGTCAGTTTGAGCACCAAAGTAAATAATGGAATAGATTACAAGATAAATCAATTGTAATATAAAGAGAGACAAACAAAGATGGAGGGATGGGAAACTCAACAGAAAATTGTTAGCTAGTAAATATAGTAGGAATTCTAAAAGCAGGAAGTCATCATGTTTGCTACACCCAGTGTAAAAACTGGTTCAGGCAAGGATCATCTGTGAATGCTGAAACTGTGGGGGAAAGACTATTAAGGAATACACATAGCCCCATAGTTCTATTTATTAATTACAGTGGGAAAATGTATTTTTACAATGGATAGATCTGGTGGTTGCGATTATAACAAAATCATTAAATTTATCATCAATAATGAAATAAACTATTCCCTGGGATATGACACTATATGTACAGTAAATACATGTCATCTATGTAGCATCCTTCCAAAGATGCTAGTCAGAATCTATTTGTGAAGAAACAATAATCAGACAAATTCATGTCTGGTGTTCTACGTTACAACTGGCTCTGACTTCACAATCTAATAATTTTTTAAAAGCAACTAGATGAAAAGGGATACGATAACAAAAAACAATGCATCAACATTAACTGGATCATTAACTTTAAAAAAAAAAAGAAGAAGAAGAAACACACCAAGCAAACCATAAAATAAAAATTGGGAACAATTGGAAAATTTAATTGTAAACCATACACTAGATGATTAGTGTAAGGAGAAGGAGCCTTGGTAGTATAATGGATTACGTGTTGTGCTGCAAACCATAAGGTCAACAGTTTGAATCTACCAGCGACTCTAAGGAAGAAAGATAAGACCTTCTACTCCTATAAAGACTGACCATCTCCATAACCCTTTACAGGATCACTATGAATCGAACTGACTCCAAGGCACACCACCACCAGTGTAAGAAGAGGGCAATGGTAATTGTTTCTCTTCTATCCAACTTGGTTGGCTTTTTCATCAGACACACTGTACTAATGTTTTTCACCTGGACTAAAACAATCATTTGATTCCTTGATTCCTTCCTTGGTTTAACAGCTTATTTGTCTTTCTTATACAATTTGCATTCCCCCCAAATAATTACTTTTTTTTTTTTTTAAATCCATTGAATTTTTTAAAAATGTTTTATTGTGAATTATATGATAGTTTACATGAGAGAACTTTAGTTTTACATTAATTCCATCGTATATCATCTCATTGCTATGATTCCAATCCCCTCCATGCATCATCAACCGACCAAAAGGTATACCCTACAAACCCACCCCCTACACTCCTCCCTGCCCGCCTCACCCCCACCCCCAGTCTTCAGCACACAGTCCCTCTCCCTCCCTGGATCCAAAGTCCCCAGCCGCTTCATCACTCCACGTCACCTTCTCTGTCTCTATCTCAGGCATCTCTGCTTCTCTGGGTAGGGTCCCGCTCTGGGCTCTTCTCAGTTGATGGTCCTAGAGACCTCCGCTCCTAGACTGGAGAATTAATCACTCCCTTCCTTTCTACAAAACATCTACCTTTACATTTCCAACCCTCATAATCAGTCCTGATAACAATTATTCACTAAAGTATCACAAGTGACCCGTCTGTATTTCATTTTATCAGCTCCGCCTAGACAGATTGGATAGTACTCACTGGAGA